GGTGTAAAAACAAACAATAAAAACAGTTTTGTTTTTTTTTCCTCAAACGCCTTGCAATTTTAAAGGTGAAAGGCACATATACAGTAACTACACTGAAAAGGAATATAAATGTCACCAGACTAGTTGATAGCACTCCATGCTTCACTGGTACAGCACTTCTCACAGAGCTGAAATGTTTGGCCATTTGGCTGTCTTCTGCATTAAGTGTACACTGAAGGAAAACTGTGTCCTATTCCTCTTGTAACCCCTCATCCTGGACTAGTGGGCAACATGCAGAGAGGCTCAGTAACTAAAAAGGTTGAGGTGGAAGCTTACTTCTCTCTCCCTCTCCCCACCCCGGTGTTTCAACAGAATTTATTTGTATGTTTTCCGTTTTCTGTACTATTTGAAGGCACAAGATAGCTTGTATTAGCTTTCTACAGTATTGTGTTTTAAATTTAGCCAGTAAAGTAAGATGCAGCGCAACTTTTATGCAACTTAAAAGAGATTTTTAAAAACTCTCCACATGAGAAATCAACTCAGCAGGCCTTGGTGTTAACATTTTTCCTAGACTATAACAGATATGTAGGGCTGGGGATCTAGCTCAGCGGCACAAGCACGCCTGCCTGGCAAGAGCAAGGTCCTGAGTTCGATCCCCAGTACCAAAACCAAAAAACCAAAAAACCAAAAAACCAAAAAAAAGATATGTAATTGCATTAACAGTAGTTCTCAAGTATTTAAATTACACCAAGATTCCTTCTAAATATCAAACCAATGTGACCAATTCATTGCTGACACTGGGGCATGAATTTCTGGTAAATGTTTATGGTTTTACTTTCTTTATTAATCAAAAACCTTTTAAAGTGCTCCCAAGCAGCAGAATAAGTTGCATCAGTTCTCTGCTCATGGTAGAGGTGCCAATGTGACATTGCAAAAGGTACAGTTTAATAGTAATAATGCATGAAAAAACTCTAGCAAGTGGCCTGGCACCATAGAGTTGGACAAAATTGAAGCAATTATGTCTATAAGTACTCAACTGCAACTAATATAGGTACATTCAAAATAAACTTGGAGATTATAATTGGTATTTAGAATCAAATTTCAAGACTTTCCTGAAAAAATACAAACATGCTCAACCCCCTCCCCAGTACTGGGAATCGAACTCACGACCTCGTGCTTGCCAGGTAGGCGCTGTGCCGCTGAGCTAAATCCCCAGCTATATCCCTGCTTCGTTCAACAATGGCTAAAACTCTTTTCTCCTATTCTCATTTCCTGATAAAGCTGAGCTGACTGGCTCCTGGTTGGATTTTTTTTTTTTTTTTTTTTTTTTGGTACTGGGAATCAAACTCAGGACCTTGTGCTTGCCAGGCAGGTGCTGGGCTGCTGAGCTACATCCCTGACCCAGATTGTTTGTGTTTGGTTTACCCAGCAAAGACTAACTTGATCTTAGAAGATATATTGTATGTTGGACTCCCTCAATTTTGAACATATCCAAACCTATGCTACTATTAGCATGTACATTTGGATGAAACATATTGGATAAAAGCCTAACCATTCACAGTTTATTTGCATATTTTTCAGAAAATTCTACTACCTGGCCAGGTGTGGTGGCACAAATCTTTAATCCCAGAACTCGGAAGGCTGAGGCACGAAGATTGCTGTGACTTTTAAGGCCAGCCTGGGCTACATAAGCGAGTGCAAAGCCAGCCTACACTACATAGTAAGACCTTGCCTTAAAAAACAAAAAATTCTATTACCACTTTGAAAACACCATCTCATTCCAGGGCATGCTACTGTTTTGAGATAGTGCACCCCTGATGCCCACACAATTGCCTAAAATCCCACATGAACTTCCTCTGCACTGGGTTGACACGCTTGTCAGCTGCCCCGCAGTTAGTTAAAAAGAAGAGTCCCATGGCCCCATGTAGCAGCACCCCCGAACTCCAATCATGTGGGTCACCCATACCCAGGAGTGTCAACTTGATAGGCTGTAGGATCTGCCTAGGGGCTTAGTAAAACACACTTCTGAATGTGTCTTGGAGGATCATAGAGGTGAGGCCTTGGGGTCTACTACAGTCCCTGACCCTTTCCTCTCTGGCACTGTTCCCCTACTCTGCTTCCTGCTGCCATAAGTGGAGCATCTTTTCTCCACCATGTGCTAACACCATGATGACCCTGCTTCAGAGCCTGTGGGTCATGGACTGCATCCCCTCAAACCATGAGCCAAATGTAAGCACTCTTCTGAAAAGATACTGTATGTTTCAATTAAATAACTTTTCCACAGTAAAAGTCACATTAATCCCCATCAAGATACCCTCCCTCCTTGTTTCAACTTCTCTGATCATTCTTGTCATGTTCTGAAAAGCCTCTTTGTGTTTTTTCACGGCTGTCCTAATATCCTGAATTGATCTGAAATATTACATCAAGTTCAGTCAAATAAAAACATCACTGCAGGGGCTGGGGATTTAGCTCAGCGGCAAAAAGCGCCTGCCTGGCAAGCGCAAGGTCGTGAGTTCGGTTCCCGGTACCGGAGAAAAGCCAAAAAAAAAAAAACATCACTGCATCCTCATCTACCTTACTCACGAAATATGGCACCATGTCAGGACTACAGGCTCTTCTCCAAAGTCAAAATGACTACGGATGGTAAAGGATTTGAATGTCTTGGGACAATGAGGCAAACAGCATGGCCCAGTTAGAACTCTCAGGAAAGAGGACTTGAGGAGTGCTTTGGCAAGTGGCAAGAACGACGGGATGAGTTTGGAGCGAGGGGGAGGATTCTGAGAGGGATTCATGGCAGTGTGTCTTCTACTGTAATACAATTTTTATTTAAATATTCACCATCACATCTCCTCTAGCTCTCCTCCTAAGTCGGGTCGGGTATTGTGTCCCTGCAATAGGGAAGCTAAGAGGATAACTGTGTATGGAATAGGTGAAACAAACACTGTGTAGGTAAGAGGGAAATGGCTGAACACTTTCAAGGGTCAGGATAATGTCTGCCTGGGGAATCACACAAAGGAAGCCATTTTAATCAGACCTTTACAGACTTAAAGGTGACAGTCTGACACAGGAAATGTGGGCAGCAAGTGGCAGGAAATAGAGAAACGAAACAGACAGCTGAAACAGAGATCACAAAATTGGTTTTAACATAACCTCATGGGAGGCACAGGAATTCTGTCTATAATTCCTACGGTGATGCTGACGGGTAGTTATGTCACCTTAGTGCTATAATCTGGGTCTGAAATGTCCTTCCAAAGCCCATCTGTGGGACCTGGTCCTCAGCCTGTGGTGCTGGTGGAAACACTAGGAGACGGAGAGTAGAGGGAAGTTTAGGTCAGTAAATCCATGCTGCATCCATGAGGTGACTTCACCACACTCCACACTCCTCAGCACGATGTGCCTCCTCTGTATGATGTGCTGCCTCACCACAGACCCAACATCCATAAACTTAACTGGCTGAAATTCTGAGGCAAAACAAACCTTCTCTTTAAATGCTGATTGTCTCAGGTATTTTGTTACAGTAACGGAAAGTTATATAATATACTCACATAGTACCCTATTCTGTTTCTTAGCTGCTTCGGTTTGGACAATGTACCTTAGCACTGGTTTTGACTCTTCTACAAATGAATTTATTTTGAAATATCTATTGAAGATCTATTACATAAAATTGCTTTCTTAGGAAGTTGATTTTTTTCTCTAACTACATTTTCCAGCCTTTCCTGCTTATACCAACTAATCTTGTCAAGTTGACTAGAGTATGAGACTCCTGGACAGCTGACTGGGTCCTGGTCCCCTCTATTCCTCAGTGGATTAACCCAGTGCTGTTCACAGCTGACAGTGCTGTGAGGAGGCAGACTGCGCTGTGTTGGAGGTGGATCCCTGGGAGGGTGTCTGGAGGGTGTAGCTCTCACTGATGCTCTTCCCATGTGCTGCTTCCTGGCCACCATGAAGTGAGCAGCTTTGCTCCACCAGGCCCTTCTGCCATGATGCTCCTGGCTTGAAGCCAGCCAGCCATGCACTGAAACCTTTGAAAACATAACCTAAATAAACCATACTTTCCTTCAAGCCGGGATGTCAGGTTTTGGTCCCGGTGTTAAGTACCTAAGTGTCTGTATCATCACAACACCTGGTAAACTGCTTTATATATATATATATATCATCTTGTCCTATATATGTAAATATATATATTTACCATCTTGTCCTTTCTAGCCCGGACCTGGCAGAACAGCCACAAAGAAAGGTGGCTTCAATTATTAGCCTGTCCCTCAGACTCTCAAAGAGACCTGAAAATTTGCCAGGAAGGATATGGACACTTTATTTGTTTGTTTGTTTGTTTTTGGTACTGGGAATTGAACTCAGGACGTTGCTCTTGCCAGGCAGGCACTTGTGCTGCTGAGCTATATCCCTGGCCCTGGACACTTCAGATATTTACATGAATGCCAGATTCCATGAAGCTGCCTGAGGCAAAGGAAGAGGGAATGTCCCACACGGTAGCCAAGTGCTGTTGTCCAGAAAAGGTACTGAGGGTGAAGGTTCCCCATACAAGCTCTGAACTGTCATCTATGCTCCTCTTGCCACTTCTGAAAATCTCAATGTGAATGAGGACTAACCACTGATTATCAAAAAAGTTATAAAACCACAAAAAATAAACAAAATCCACCACTTGACCATTTTTAAGTATACATTTCAGTGTCTTAGAGTACATTCATATGGTTGAACAACATTGCCACCATCAATCTGTAGAACTGTTTTTTGTCTTTTTGAGACAGGGTCTCGCTATACAGTTCAGGCTGGCCTTGAGGTCACTTTGTAGCCCAGGCTGACCTGCAACTCACAATTATCCTCCTGCCTCAGCCTCCCGAGGGCTGGGATTATAAGAGTGCACCACCATGCCTGACTTTGTAGAACTATTTTTACAATTAAGATTTTTTAAACGTAAAAACATAAAATATTATTGCATACCAGAAAAGTCAGATATTTTCAATAAAGTCTTTTATATTTTAAATATGTGACAACATTCAGAATGGAACTTAAAAATCAGTTTATTAACTAAATTTTTTGGTCTGGTATTTAATAATGATTATTTAGAATAGCCTCCTAATTCAAAATCTAACATCAGAGTAAAAACCTTGTATATTTTTTCCTTAAAGACAAATTCAGAAGAGATTTCTGATAGTGTAAGAAACTACAGTGGTACCTCAGTTCATGAACTTAATTTGTTCCAGAATTCTGGAAAAGATGGCCATGATCGTGTTTGTGCGGAAAAGATGGCCTTGCTCATGCTCCTCGCCCAATATTCAGTTTGTAAACAAAAGCATTCATGAACTAAGGCGCCACTGTCGATGCACTGCATGTACTGGTTCAATCCTATGCAAGTAAGTACAACCCACGCGCAGGACCACACCGCAGCCTCCTCACTCCTCATGACAGCAGAGCGGGCCCTGGCCTGTGGGAGCTCCCTTTCCTAGAAGCAACTGGCTTCAGTTCAGTTCTATTTTGAGGGGTATTGGAGACCCGGCCAAGATTCCCAACTGCCTCCATGAGGGACATTCCAAAGGATGAAATTCAAGAAATTGAGACAAACTTAGTAATGTATGATGTGTAGCTGGGAGGTCAATGCTTCAGGACAGGCAGAGACAAAGACACGAAACTAGCCACTATTTATTAGCCAATGTGTGTGTGTTGGGAGGGGGTGTGCTTTTCCTGGAACAGCCTAGAGGCTGTGGTAGAACTCGCAAGTTTCACATCATAACAGAAGCAAGCTAAGATCCATCCCTACCCCGGGGTGCTAATCTCTTTGACCAGAGGAAGGTGATTTCTGCATTCCAAAAGTGGCCCACAAGGCAGGCAGGACGCGGAGAAACTAGGATAAATCCTATGTCAATGTACAATTCCTGGTCCCCAAAGAGGGGCAAGGCAAGAAGCATCAAGTACCATTTCCCTAATCTCCTGCCAGGATTTGGGAACAGAAAAGCAGCACAGGGGTAGAATCAGAACCTGGCCTAGTTTCAGGACCCAAGCCCAGGGTTATTTCCCTTCCCCCTTACCTTTATTTCTAAGAATACTTCTCTATCCTGATGTACAGTTCAGGTTCTTAATCAGAATATTTCTTTTCCTTAAATGCTGTCCTCCCCCCCCCCCTTGACTTAGCTCTGCAATGCACAGCTTTGATGCTCTTCCTGGAGTAGATGCTGCAGCTTGGGAAACAGTTTCAGTGCGTTCTGTGTGGTCGCTCGGGTAACTTCTTCCACCGAGACCCCTTTCACTTGAGCAATATATTCTGCAGAAATGGAAATGTTGCAGGGTTCATTTCGTACCTGAAACAGAACACAGCAGACACTAATTTAAACATTACACTCAAGGGAAAGGATCCTTGGAGACTATGGATTTTGCCTAAAAATGATCAATGAACTCCTACCAGAGACCCTTTCTACTGCACCAGTTATCAGGGAACCCTGCAGTAAGTCCCCAGTCTCCTGCCAAGTGTTAAGGCGCATGACGAGAACAAAGAGCAAGAGACAAAATAGCAGTGAAGCAGGAACAAAAGTGATAGGTTTTCCCAGCGTAGAAGAAATAAAACAGAATGAAAATGGCTTTATTGCAGGCATGGAGAAGACCACAGTAGAAAGGAGGGAGGTGAAAGCTTCTGAAGGCCTGGCCTAGAGACAAAGGCTAAATCGGGCCAGGCTGGAGGTGGAGTTTCGCAGGTGGACCGCCTAAGGTGGCAGACCAGGATTGGGCAGGAACATGGGAAAAAGAAACAGGCTATTATAAAAAGTAGGGAGTCGTAATTTGACTCAGAGGAAGAAGAGTGGGGCTTAGCACATGGCCTCCAGGGGTCAGTGCCACACTGGCCCGGCGCCATACTGGCTCAGCGCCATAGCACATGGCCTCCAGTGGGTGGTGCCATAGCAACTCAGCAGCAATCTTAGTGAGGTGAGAAACACATCATAAATATTGCTGCGAAGTTGACCGCAAGTCTACATTGTCCCTGAAAAGTACTCCAGGTATGGATAGCTGAAGCCCAAGATCCCAGCATGTGAACTGGTCTGCAAACAGTGAACACTGGAGATCAGTTATTTGCTGGACTAACTGTCCCTTAGTTTGTTGCCTAAGGGAAAGCTCAGAAAGGTCACTGCATAATCCCTTACAAGCTACATGGGATTTTGATTCCAAAAATAGAGGAAAGGTTAAGTGTATTTATTTCACTGACTTGAAGACACTCAATATCTCTGAAACTAATATGCATTTCACTCATACTTGGGGGATATCTTTGTATAACTGACAGATTTTTCTTTCTTAACAGTCATAAATTAATGGTGTTTCTGCAACCAGTAGCATTTAAATTTGATGAAATAAATTATTAATGTAAAGAAGTATCTACTCAGGATGATACTACTTGGAGCAATAAAATTACTGTCAAGGCTAAAAAAGAAAAACAAAACTTGGTGTAACAAAACAATGAAAAGTGTGCACAAAGGTTTATGCTCAAGGATGTGTATCATACTGTTGATAACATAATCTAAGTGACCAACACTGTTTTAACACTAGGATACTATGCAGTTGTTAAATGTGATCATGTATGCAGACACTCACCATATGAAAGCAAGTTATAAAATAACGTGTTCAAACTAATTTTTTAAATGAAATATACATGTATATAATATGTAGATATAAAACAGTCTGAGGGCTAGGGATTTAGCTCAGCGGCAAAGTGCCTGCCTGGCAAGCGCAAGGTCGTGAGTTCGGTTCCCGGTACCGGAGAAAAAACAAAACAAAACAAAACAAAAAAAACAAAAAAAACCAGTCTGAAAAGACGTAAGAATTTATGTTTTATGTTTTTTTGTGTAGGTGAGGCTTTGTTCTAAGGTTTCATGGAATATCTTACTTACTCCTCAAAACAACTCTACGAGAGAGGAACTATTATTATTAGTATCATTTTTCATATGTAAGAAGGGATCCTACACAGCTGGTAAATAGCCTAGTGGAGGTTTAAATCCAAGCAATCTGATGACAGAGTTTATCAAGCTCTTGTACCATACTGGTAACCCCTGAGTGGCAGATGGTTTTATTTTTTTATTTATGTAAACTGTGTAACTTTCTGGAACATATCTAATTTGGTAAAAGGACGATCTGGTGAAAAATTCATTTATTCAATAAATGTTTATTATCTACTTTGCGCAAGGCACTATGCCACAAGCTCACAGTTCTGTTTGACCAACTAGACACAAATAGAAAACCAGAGTTACAGCAGCATTTAAAAATTGTTCTTGTTTAGAGAGAAGAATGGTAGGTCCTTTTCCTTCTATTTCACACTAATCAGGATACTTCTAGGCCGTTCTATGCACAAACAGAAAACAAAGGAGTTATGATCCTTTCCCATTCCTCTTCTTCTACATTCTTTGTTTTTCTTTTTTTTTATATAGGGGTCTCACTATGCAGTTCAGGCTGGCCTTGAGCTCACTTTGTAGCCCAGGCTGACCTCGAACTCACAACGATCCTCCTGCCTCAGCCTTCCAAGTACTGGGATTACAGGCATGCGCCACCATGCCCGGCCATCTTTTACATTCTTATAAAAGCTGATTTATAAAAACGCATAATTATTTGGACATTATTATCACATGGAAATCACAAGTAATCATAGTTTGTTAATCACATAATAATCTCTACTGCTTCTAAACTTCTGAATTTTGAATGTCAGCTCTGTGAATTTGGCAGATATGGAGACTCTGGGAACTTACTAAAGGAAGTAACTGTAATAGACACTGTCTGAAATACATATAGATATTGAGACTTCCCTTCAAAATATTATAATTTAAAACAGCAATATGAAAGTATATGAAATTTTAACTGTAATACTCTGTGATTCACAATAACAAAATGAGATATTACAGCAAAGATTACACAAATAAACATGATTATATCAATACTTATACAAAAAAATAAAATTTCATTGTAACATGCTAAAGTATTTATTCTTTAAAATGAAAAAATAAGTATTTATTGATCGCCTACTGTATACTAGCCACTGCAGTGCATTTTCACATATGTTACATCATGTAATCTTTATAGCATTTTTGTTGTTGTTGTTTTTTTTTTTGGTTTTTCTCCGGTACCGGGAACCGAACTCAGGACCTTGCGCTTGCCAGGCAGGCGCTTTTGCCACTGAGCTAAATCCTCAGCCCCCTTTATAGCATTTTATTATTTAACTCACATTTTATAAAAGAAAGAACAGTCTAAGATTTAATTTGGTTAAAGTCAATCAGTGGGTAAGAAACAATCTAAATCTTTCTGATTTCACACACTATACTTTTTACTAGACTTTCATTACTACATAAATTAGGACATGCTCCTTATCAAATATCAAATAATAGGGGCCAGGGATATAGCTCAGCAGCACGGTGCTTGCCTGGCAAGCACAAGGTCCTGAGTTCAGTTCCCAGTACCAAAAAGCAAACAAACAAAACTCAAATAATATTCTCTGCAGCACAATAGCTATATTTAAGAGAAAAAAACTCAATATTAGCTCTCAACCTAGCTTTATAATTTCACTGTTTTTATACTATACTGTACTAGCAAACCCAGATAACTGAAAATAGCTCAAATGAAAGATACCTTCTAAAAAATGTAGAAAGCAGAAAATTATGTACCTGTTTTTCCGGTCCTAGGGCAGGTGAATCTGTTTCTAAGCAGATGGATGTCAAAGGTAACTGTTTCACAAGTTTCTGCTTCTTAAAGAAAAGAGAAAGCTGCTAAGTTTAAAACATGAGAACAAAAGAACATATACACTAATGCATTTTATTCTGCAAGAATCTAAAATTCATGTTTCATATTCAGTTGACTAATGCTACCCAGGTGCCTACTATATTCCCATCATTCCACTATTAACAGTCATGTTACAATATAAACACTCATTGCCAAAAATTATTCGTAGCTTTCAGAGAATCAAAAGATAGTAACCATAGCAAAAAGGAAGTACACCCAGCAAGAAATCCAAACATCCAATACCAAATGCCCCCTGAAGATCCAAGGAAGAGGGCTGTCATTTCCCTACCACTGCTTCACTCAATTTCTGTCTACCGTTAAGTCACTCAAGGCTTTATGAATATAAATCTAAAGTTGTTTTGCACAATTCTGGTTTACATTGGGTGGTGGATGCTTTTATTTCTTGTTTGTAATTCTTAAAGTATGGATTGTGAGGGCTGTAGTGAGCCCAGTAAGTCTTATGCTGAGAACACAACTGTTTTGCTGACACTGCACTTGAGAACATGGGAAGGGGGACACACGACACACAGTGGAACATTAATAAATGATTTAAGATTATATTTCAAAAGTACACAAATGGTGTGCTCACGTGCTGTTGATAAAGGTTAAACTGCTGCAAACTTCCTTGAAGGAAATGTGATAGTTTATATCAGAATTTTAGAAATGTATACTCAGTGCTGGGCGTGGGGGCGCACACCTATCCCAGCACATGAGAGACTGAGGTAGGACTGCCAAGTTTGAGAGGCCAGCCTGAACTACACAGCAAGACCTTGTCCTCCCCAAAATATATACATATAGATGCACGTATCTACCTATCTATCTATCTATCTATTTATTCAGTGATTCCATCTATATTTCTTTTTTTTTTTTTGGAAAGGGTCTCACTATGTAGTTCAGATTCATCTTGAACTCGCCTTGAATTCATGGGAATCCTCTTG